ACTTCTTCACCCAAGGAATTCACTGCCACAGGAGGTGACGACGGCTACAAGTATGGACGGCTTCAAGAGGAAATTAGATAAACATATGGAGCAGAGGTCCATCAGTGGCTATTAGCCACAAGGTATAGATAGGAACTCTCAGTCTGGGGCAAGTGATGCTCTGTATTCTTGGTGCTTGGGGGGAGGACCTCCTGATGGCACCTGGTATTTTTGGCCACTGTGTGACAGAGTGTTGGACTGGATGGGCCTTTGGCCTGATCCAAAGTAGATAAATACCATGTGTCCCTGGTAGAGAAGAAAGTGAAATGCTTTTTGTTAATATATCTGCAGACTAATTTTAGGATTCTAATATTTTTGCTCCTCTCCCGCAGCAGTCTTTGATGCATTTTGAAATCTCACTAACTAATTCAATTGACAATACAATCCTATGTAGACTAACTCCAGTTTAAGCCCACTTGAACCAGTGTGGTTAGAGTGGAATAACTATGCACAGGACAAACTCTGCCACAAATGCTGCATGCTATTTTAAGATTTTAAAATTGCAGCCTTGGAGATATTCTTCACAGTGTCATGAAGCATCACGTTATATTCCCCCCACCTTTCTAAAAACTGTACTGAACCTGATGAAGAAGACTCCTGGAGATCTCAAAAACTTCACTGTTTTGTGACACTTTGAAAAATACTAATGAAAAGGTATTACATGACTGTTACATTTGGACTCCTGAACAATTGAGCTACCCTGGTTATGATTAAGTTCTGAACAATACCTTGCGAAAATATTCATTTGGGGTCATTTCTTGGACACGTCTAATTGCTTTATACATCATTTTCTCACGAAAAATATTCACGTTTTCACGCTCAACAGCTCCGGATCCATCTGAAGCCACAAGTACATAGGTACTTTCTTCAGCTCGAGCTCTTCCACGTGCCTGGGATACACATGAGGCAACATTAACAGGAATAAATACAGAATGCATATGGCTATACATAGGAACACAAGTTGTGTGTTGTTGTTTTTTTAAAAAACAAGGTTTTAAGAGAAGTGCTGGATTATACCAAAAATTCTATCAGTGGTGTAAATCAGGGTTAATTATCACATCCTGTGGTGATGGGTGAAGAAATGCAGTCTTTTTTTGGTCTTGAATATACCTCCAATCAATTTTATTTGGTGACACTGCCCCCCCTCCTAGTATTATGGGAGAAGAAAAGTCCTCTCCATCCACTTTCTCCATATAACACATGGTTTTATAAACCCATATTTTCACTTAACTAAAAAAGACCATTAACCCAGGCAAGGTGCTCCAACTCTGTTGTCACTTTAGTGGCTCTTTTCTGTGCCTCTTCTGGTTCTATGACATTCTTTGGGAGATTGTCTAATAGTTCTGAACACCACAGATCCAAAGAGATTATAACACTGGCTGTTTTATTTTCAATAACTTTCCCATTAATCTGTAACACAGAATTTGCCTTTTTCACTGTATCTCCAGGATCCATCTCCTAGTTACTCATGGGACAGTTGAAGTCACCGATTATTATAACTCTTTTTTTGGCTGCCTCCCTTATTTCTTTCTCCATTTCAAGATCACTGTCAGAGTTTTCATTGGGGGGGGGGAGATACAAGTCTAGTACTAATTTCGTTTTGGGGACTATACAGAGCATAAAACCAAATACCATGCCACTTGAGTGCAGACACTATGTTCAGTTAACAGAAACAGTGTATTTGGTAATATTGTACATTAATTACTACTGTCTTGCAAACAGCTGCTGTTGGATGAATACAGCAACAAATCCACTATAGCAAGGTACAGTTCTGTCTGGCACTGAAATGGTCAGGCTGGAGAACCTGGAGCATTTATAAGGCATTTTTCAAACATGGCAGAACAGCCATCCATAGGAAATTAGACAGAATGATAGCAGAGCAGATAACTTTGCTTCACACAAAATACTGTTGCAATAAACAATGGTTCCATAGTGGATTCTCAAGGAGCTAATTCATTTCTCCACCATTAGGTGGCTTTTAAATTCACAGAAAATAAATTATGGGGGGAGCACTTAGACTAGGGGCCCCTATCCTTTGGGCACCTTGGCAATTCTGAGACAGAGTGATGAGCGCAACCACATAATGGCCACTGTGGGAGGCAGAGCCAAACATAAAACAGCTGCCACAAGAGGCAGAGCCAGCCACACACACACACAAACAGAACCCACGTTCAGGGAACACGAGGAGCAATTTTTAAAAATACATGGGGAAAGAGGAATGTGAGAGAATAAAATCAAGACTGAGGTGGCAGCTACCACCAAAATAATGTTATTTTAAACTACACAGCCAATCAGGTCTCCAATGGCCAATCAAAAGTCCTACTGGGCAGGACTGTGACCTGGCCCCACCCACTCTCTAAGAACACCTGGTGGGTGCTAGGAAAGGTGTTGGCAGGTGCCATGGTGCTGATGGGCAACATATTGGGGACCCTGGGCTACACATTCAACACAACATACCTGCACCATAGCTATTTCATTGGTAACAAGACCATAGCGTATAACGATGTTACATTCCTTGATATCCAGGCCTTCTTCTGCCACAGTAGTAGCAATGAGTAGGTTCACTTCTCCACGGCGGAATTTCTCTATGACTTCCTTCTGTTCGTTCTGTACCAACATATTAATGGTCAGATTTACTAAATGAATGAACATAAATCAACAATCAGAATAGTTTTCTTAACTATTGGAAGGACAGTACAATCCCAAATATTAGGAAAGAACTGATCTAATACCTTCTCATAGCTGCCAAAACATCTACAGGTGCTAAGTGGAAATGCCCAAGTGCACCTACGCTTCATATATGGCAACATAAGGTATGGGATACATAATGTAAAGAATTACATAGAAAATACATTTTTTTTTTTTGGTAAACAAATTTTTATTTTCTTAGGAACATAACATATAAGATTAAATCATTCAGTCCATTGTTTACCTCATTCCCTTCCTCCCCTCCCTCCAGTGGCTTCCCGCAATGCTTCTCCCCCTTCTTACAAATTTCATTATATCATTAACACATCATTTGTTATCATCCAACCTCAAGATAACATCATTTGACTTAATATTGATCTAAACATATTAAGTTTTGTTTTACATCCCAGTTCTTTTCCAGATATATTTTAAAGTCATTCCATTCTTGAAAAAACACGTTGTCTTCTTGATTATTCAACTTCTTTGTAATTTTATCCATTTCTGCCATGAACAGAACTTTTTGTATCCAGTCTTCGATTTCTGGTACTTTCTCAGTCTTCCAAAATTGTGCATAAATCATCCTCGCTGTTGTAATAAGGTACCAGAATAAAGTCCTTTTAGTCGAGTTAACTTCTTCCATTTTTAGTCCCAAAAGCAGAATTTCAGGCGCTTTCTTGAAAGAGCACTTAAGTATTTTTTGCATTTCTTTGTGGACTTTTGTCCAAAAGAGTGTAGCTTTTTCACAAGTCCACCACATATGGTAAAATGAGCCCTCATGTTTTTTACATTTCCAACATTTATTTGACATATTCTGGTTCATATTTGCAATTTTCTTTGGGGTCATATACCACCTATACATCATTTTGTAACAATTCTCTCTAACATTGGTACAGGGTGATATTTTAATAGCATTTTTCCACAAATATTCCCAGGTTTCTATGTCAATTTCCTTATTCATATTTATTGCCCATTTTAACATTTGCTCTTTCACAGTCTCATCTTCTGTATACCATTTTAACAACACTTTATACATTTTAGAGATATCTTTTCCCCCTCCACTCTCCCATACCTTTTCCATTTCATTTTTTTCCTCTCTAAAACCATAATTTCTTTTGTCTGACCTAAAAAGGTCAGAGATCTGCATGTATTTCAACCATTCATATTCATATTCAATTTCATTCTGCTTTTTCATTACCCATTCTGTTCCCTCTTTTTTTATTATGTCTTTATACAGCAACCAATCTTTGTCTCTACGTCTTGAGTAAGATGTTAACACTTCCACTGGTACAATCCAAAGTGGCCTTACATCACCAAAATATTTTTTATATCTCATCCATACCACAAATAATGCTTTTCTTACCACATGATGCTTAAAAAAGCTATCCATTTTTGTTTTGTCATACCATAAATATGCATGCCAACCAAATCTACAATCATGACCTTCTAACCCCAATAGCTTATCATTTTCTAATTTCACCCATTGCTTCAACCAGGTCATACAAACCGCTTCATAATATAATCTGAGATTTGGTAGCTGTAGTCCACCTCTGTCCTTGGCATCACAAAGTATTTTCATCTTAATTCTCGGTTTCTTGCCTGCCCAAACAAACTTTGATAGTTCTTGTTGCCACCTTTGCAGCAAATCTGTCTTACTAAGTATTGGTATTGTTTGGAACAGGAACATCAAACGTGGTAGGACATTCATTTTTATAACTGAAATTCTTCCCATCAGTGACAAGTTCATTTTGTCCCATTTCTTAAAGTCTTGGGTTAACTTAGCCCATAGTTTTTCATAATTGTTCTTATATAAGTCTATATTCTTTGCAGTTAACTCAATGCCTAAGTATTTCGTCTTCTTTACCACTTCACATTGTACCAAATTTTGTAGTTCCACTTGTTTTTGTTTCGTCATATTTTTGCAAATAAGCTTCGTTTTATTCTTGTTTACATAAAATCCTGCCAATTCTCCAAAATCTTTTATTTTTTGAAATAGTAACGGTAACTCTTCCGTCGGGTTTTCCACAATAAACATTACGTCATCTGCAAAAGCACGGTATTTATATTTAAAACCTTTATGTGTCAAACCCTTAATCTCTTGATCTTGTTGTATTTTTTGTAAAAGTACCTCCAACACCCAAATGAACAATAGCGGTGACAAGGGACAACCCTGCCGAGTACCTTTCTGTACCTTGAAGCTATCGGTCAATTCTTTATTTACATTCAGTGTAGCTCTTTGTTCCGAATAGATAGCTTCAATACAATTTCTGAACTGTTGTCCCGTATCAATTTTTTCCATCATCTGTAACATAAACTTCCAATTAAGATTGTCAAATGCTTTTTCCGCATCCACAAACAAAAAAGTTACCTCTTTTTCAGGGTGCTTTTCATAGTATTCCACTGCGTCCATTACTATTCTTACATTATCTCGAATTTGTCTTTTTGGCAGAAAGCCCGCTTGATCTTCTGAAATCACTGTTTGTAAGTAGTTTTTCACTCTTTCTGCAATAATTTTTGCAAAGATCTTATAGTCATTATTTAGGAGAGAAATTGGCCTGTAGTTCTTTACATTCGTTAGTTCTTGGCCTTCCTTTGGTATCAATGAAATGATTGCCTCTTTCCATGAGTCTGGCACTTTCTTGCACATCCGTATGTCGTTGGATAAAGCTTCCAGGGCCGGGACAAGTTCCTCTTTCATTTTTTTATAAAACTTCGCGGTAAATCCGTCCGGCCCTGGCGCCTTCCCCAACTTCGCTTCTTCAATTGCCTTCCTCACTTCCTCTGTTTGGATTGGCCCATTTAGTAAATCTTTAAACTCTTTGCTTATTTTGGATAGTGGAATCTCTTCTAAATATCTTTCAATCTTCTCAAGATCAATTCTATTTGCTTGAAACAATTTAGCATAATACTTGAAGAAACTTCTCTTTATACCATTAGGGTCAACGAATTCTTTTCCTTCTTCTATAATTTTGGTTATCATTCTTCTTTCTTTTCTTGCTTTGAGTTGCCAAGCTAGATATTTCCCCGGTTTATTCGCCCCTTCAAAAGATTTCTGTTGTAACTTCTTTAAATTCCAATAAAGCTCTTGGTTCAAAAAATCATTCAGCTGTTCTTTCAGCAACTGTAGTTCTCTAATAATCTTCTTTTTCCCCGGTTTCTTCTTCAGTTCTTTTTCTTTTTGGGCTATTTGTTCCAATACTTCCACTTGCCTTTGAAGTTTTTCCTTCTTTTGCTTCACATTTTGTGAGATGAGAATCCCTCTCATCACAGCTTTGTAAGCGTCCCACACTACCTGTATTGAAGTCTCTTTATTCAGATTTTGTTGGAAATATTGTTTTGTTTCTTCTTTTAACATTTCCATAACACCTTTTTTATCCAACAAATCTTCATTTATTCTCCAAAGAAAGGATTTATTCCTTTCAGTAGAGGTCCACAAAACAGGGTTGTGATCCGAGTTACATCTAGGCAGGATTTCTATTTTTTGTGTTTTCATTGACAATTCTTCTGACATCCAAATCATATCAATTCTGGAAAAAGAGCAATGTCTATTGGAATAAAAAGTAAAATCTTTCTGCGTTGGGTTCCATTTCCTCCACACATCTTCTAGTTTTTCCTGTTTGACTAGTTCAAAAAAGTTCTTTGGCAATTTTCCACTAATTTCGTTGCCTTTTTGTGATTGTCTATCCAGCCGATCTATAGTTCCATTAAAGTCTCCGGCCAAAATAACTTGATCATAAGTTTGTCCTTGTAGGTGTTCAGTTAAGTCCTTAAAGAACTTTTCTTTTGCTCCATTGGGTGCGTATATATTGACCACCAGTGTCTTTTTCTGTTGAATCATCACTTCCACACCCACATATCTTCCTTCCAAATCTTTGAAAATTTCTTTAGGTTGTAAATCCTTTTTCACATATATCACCACACCTTTTTTCTTATTTAAGGCCGAGGAATAAAATTCTAATCCCAATTTAACATTTTTTAAATATTTGGCATCCAGTTTTCTAATATGAGTTTCTTGCAAGCATATCAAGTTACAATTTTGTTTTTGTATCCAATAATTGATTCTTTTCCTCTTGTTAGGTGAATTTAATCCATTCACGTTCCATGACAACAATTTGTAATCCATTGTAGATTCTTAATTTAAAGTTCTCCAAAGACGTCAGAATTGTCCGCCTTAAATTTATAAAAATCCGTCACCGACCTGATCTGGACTCTCCCACCTTTGTAAGTAAAGGATAAGCCTTGTGGAATTTCCCATCTGTACCTAATATTCAAAGTCCTCAGTTTATCCACCAAAGGCTTATACCTTTTTCTGTCTTGCAGTACTGCTCGGGGGAGTTCTCTCATCACCATAATCTTGTTTCCTTCCATTTCAAAAGGGACGGTGAATTGTTTCTTAAAAATATCTTCTGTAGTTGTTCTTGTTACAAATTGTACAATAACATCTCTTGGTAAATTTTTCTTTTCTGCAATTCTGGAGTTCACTCTGTATATCAAATCAAAATCAGAGTCCATTGTCCCTTCATCTTCTTCCAAATATGATGTTATTGCCTTCATCATTTCATCTCTTATATCTTCATTTTCCTTCTCTTTAATGCCCCTGAATCTCAGATGGGTTTGCATCCTTCTGAACTCCATCATTGTTTCTGATCTTCTAAATTGCTGAGTCAAAGAATCCTGTTTTTCTTCCACTTGTTGCATCTTCTCTTCCACTTCCGTAGTTTTGGTTGCATTAGCCTGAATCTCCTTTTTGACTCCTTCTATTTCTTGCTTGATTGAAGTTATCTCAGTAGTGACCAAATCTTTAATTGCCGCTATGTTCTTCTCCTGAACCTCTTCAAGTTGTTTCAGATGAATCTGAGTCTGCTTTGCCATTTGTGCCTCCAGTTGCTTTTCAATCTGTTCCCCCATCCTTTTTTCACTTTGTTCTCCCATAGCTTGTATTGCTTCCAGCATCCTTTTCTCCATTGCCTCCATGGCAGCATACATCTCTTTCTTATCCTTCTCCCTCTCTTTTGACATCTTGGGGGTTGGTGTCAGCCTAGTTGGTGTTGAATTAGTTCTTGGTCTCACTTTTGGCTTAACGTCAGGATCAGAGTCAGCTCTTTTCGGTCCTCTTCTGGTCTCCGTTTTGGTGCTTTTCCTGCGGTGCGCAAATTCACAAACAAACAGTCTCTTCTAAAGGGTAGCCTTCAATCAGCCATTCCCTTCTATTTTCGCTTTTAAAAACCCTCTAAAAGAAGTTTAAAGTCAAATTTAAAGTCAGGTCCTCCTCAAAATGTCGGGCGCAACTTCTCTATGGTATTCGGGTATAGAGTAGGTCAGGTTACCGTATTCCAGGTCCCGTCTGTTCGTATACACTCACTTCCGGTTCTGCTCTCTTGTAGCTCCGAGTCTCTTCCTGTTGGCTTCCTGTTGGCTTCAGCCCTTCTTTCAGGGCTTCCTCTTCCTGTTCCAGCACCTCGGAGTATTTTTTTCGTTACACCGGCCTGCTCCTCCCGCGATACAGTTCGTCAGTTTCGGTTTTCGGCTGCGCACATATCTCAATTCCCACCGCAGGAATGTTAAACAATGTTCTTTTTTACTGTTTTAAAGCCTTCAATCAACTATTTTCTTTGCCGGAATCGGATTTCTGGGAATGTTTGGTCATTTCCCGCTCAACCGCTTGTTTCAATTTTTATCTTATCACAGTTCAGGTAAGCGGCACGTTTATTGTTATCTAGCACGATCAAATCGGGTTTCGCATTGCTTCTTTTCACTTACTGTTGTTGCCCATCTTCAAGAGGTCGGCTGGTAGAGAGCTTAAACCGGTAATCCGGCTCGAACGGCCGCTGCAGAGTTGCTTGGCACTTGCCTTCTTCGGGGGAGGAGATCAAAGCATGAAACGGCTCCTTCGGGAGCCGGATCACGCCAACCTCACACTCCCTCTTAGGCGCTGCTGCCTGCTTGTCCCCCCCCCTCACTGGGGAGCGATGCGTTGGGCTAAAAACTGCCCAAGCTGTCAAAAGCGGCCGTCGCTCACTTCGCACAATCGCGAAAGTGTGTCAGTCCTCCATCTTAGCCCGACCGGAAGCCCATAGAAAATACATTTTGATTGATTTAGTTTTTATTATTGGCAGTCCACTTTGGAGTTTTTATGGGTTTCATAATTGTTGGTTTTGTGTTTTTTATAATGTTTTATTTATATTGTAATCCACTTTGAGTTCTGCAAAGAAGAAAAGCGGCTATTAAATGTTTTATATAAATAAATATATAAACTTCAGCAGATTTTTGTTCCACTGAGCTCCCATCTGCAGTCCACCATTCATCTAAGAAGTATCGGGTAGCCTCAGTGGAACTACACTGTTTTTAAGGGCGACACAAAATTAGTGAACCTTATTTACTTTGTTAGTGCTAACGTGGGAGGAGTCCCTGCTGTTCTGTGCCTTTGGACACTCTTTAGTACAGATTCTCATTTTGTTGCTTTACATTTCATTTTCCTTCAGTTCTACTATTTGGCACTTCAAACAGGAGATGAGGAAACATCTAAAAACCCAGATTCCAAATTTGTTTAATATTTTATTTATACCCCACCTTTCTCCATAATAAGAGATCAAAGTGGTTTACATAGTTCTCTGCCATTTTATTCAAACAACAGCCCTGTGAGGTAGGCTAGACAGTGTGTGTGACTGGCCCAGGGTCACCCAGCAAGCTTCTATGGCAGAATGGGGATTCAAACCTGGGAGACTCAGATCCTAGACTGACACTGTAAACACTACACCATGCTGCCTCTCACATAGCAACAGAACGCATTCTCTCCCACCTTAAAAACCATGTTTTTAAGATTACGTTGCATTTGAAAATTATGACTGTCCATTAATAAAGACTGGATTCTATTACAGGTTAAATACAAAGTTTTATTATTCTATTAACTAGTGTGGGTTTCTATAGCATGCAATGCTAGCCACTAGACAAGAGCTGCTTACTGTTCTCAAAACTCTCATTGCAATCCTAAGCAAAGTTACACCACTCTAAGCCTAGTAGTTTTAATGGACTTAGAATGGTATAACTCTTAGTATTTATTTATTTATTTCTTCCTTCACATTTAGAGCCCGCCCTTCCCAGAGGCGAGCTCAGGGAGGGTAACAACACTTCATTTATACAAAATATATTAGTTAATACAATAAAATTCCAATTTAAAACATCATCATAAATATTAAAATGGTGGTCACAGCTGATAACAAAGACATTTTCTGGTTGTGGGAGGTTCCTGCCCATAGCCAGTAGTTGTTAACAGAGTGACTTGTAAGTCACTTTGACAGGTGCCTGGTACTGAAAATGTCACCCAAAATTTGCCTGGATTTAGTTCTGAGGACCTTATATCATCCTTCTACTGTACTAAGCTATGATATTTATTCAGGCCCGTAGCCTGCATGGGGCCCACGGGGCCCGCCCCCCCACCCCCGCTCGTTTTGCGGGCCCCCTCCCTCTCGATCCTCTGCTCCCCGGGGGCTTGGCTGGCGCAGTCGGGATCAGCAGCGACGCGCCAGCCTGCCTCTCTTCGCCCCCCGAGTCAGCCGCGCTGAGGCGCAGGAGGTGGCAGAAGAGCGGCCGGAGCGCGGCGAGGGGAGAGTCTGAAGGTGCCCGCTCGCTTGCCTGGTCCCAGCTTTAAAGGAGCCGCGCGCGCGCTGGGCTGCAGGCAGGCGCCGCCAAGTGGCCCGGGCGCGGGAGGAGGGGGCGTCCATCCTGAGCACCAGCCAAGCCCCCCAGGGAGCAGAGGATCGGGAGGGAGGGGGCCCGCAAAACGAGGTGGGGGGGGATCCGCTCATGCCCAGCCCTCGGCTCCCCCTCCCCCCGCCCATCGCCGCCGCCTCGCGGACGGGAAGGGGAAAGAAGGAGCCTGTCAGGCTCCGCCCGGCCAGTCGGAGCTGCGTCTGCTGCGCGCGCTCGCTGGCCTGCCTCCCCCCCGTCTCGCTTCCGGGTGATGTGTGTGCGGTGTGCGCGTGCTTTGCACGCGCGCACACACACACTCCGCCCCCCCCTTTCCCCAGGGCCTCCCCACAAGGAAGGGGTTAGCTACGACCCTGTATTTATTCCTTATACTACTCACAGAAATCAACACCATGTACCCCTAAAGTATTGGTAGTGTGTGTCTTTGTTACATCATCCACCAGATCAAAATGATCTTCTTCTCAAAAGAAACATTCTCCATCTTTAAAACAATTTCTCATATAACAATACTTCCTTGGGTTTCTATTACACATTACTGCGGAGAGATTTGATTTGAGTGTCTACTGGACCAGTGGCAGAGGTGAGAACAGGGTAGAACTCTTGGTCCAACTGATTAAAAAGCCTGCTCTGTTGCAGAAAATATGGTACGTTTTAAACTTTATTTTTTACCTGTGTCATTGGCTTAAATTCACTATTGTGTCCGGCACCAATCAGGTAATGAGCTTTCACTCCAAGGTCTTCAAATTTTGGGTTCTCTTTAATCCACTGATAAAGGGCATAGGCACTCTGCCGAGTCTTTGTGAAAATGATCCCTCTGGGCTCAAATGTCTTTGAGAACTCTACCATCAAAGTGCTGCGCAGCTTTACCAGCTTTTCATTCTCATATTGTTCCTTAGAAGCCAGCTCTTTCATCAACTTTTCTTTGCCTTTCAAAGTAACAGATAAAAGCAAATTTCACATTAAAAATTGGGAAGAATTTGAAGGGGATGGGGGAAAAAAATCTATTCCACAAAGTTCCCTCTCCCCATTTTTATCACAGCCCTGCTGAGAGATAAGTAAAATCCAAAATGTGGAAAGTTCCAAAGAGCACTCCCACTTGCACAGGACTTCCCCCCCTGCTGATTCTATTTCCCATTGCGTATCCCAACATCACTCTGTTCCTGAGGGTCTCCCCCCACCGCCGATACCCAGATACCTGATTTTTTAGGACAGCACAGGGGGGTTGCCAAGACAGATGAGGTGGGAAAGATCCTTTTCTAAGCAGAGTCACTCAGTGGTTTGGATCTAACCCAGTCATAAACTCATGTGAGCTTCATGGCTAGCAATGATTTGAACCCAGATCACAGAAATTTGATAAAGCCTAGAAAAGACTGATTGGAGTATCACAATAGGCCTGAGGTACCAATGTTTAAATCCCTTTGGTGCTGTGAGGATAAAAAGGAGGAGAGAACCCCGAGCTCCTTGGAGAAAGGATGAGTTTAAAACATACTTTAAAAAATAGGAGGAAGGGGAATTAAGCTGTTAATAACTATGGTAACACAGCATATCCAGTGCTCTCCAGGCTCTTGGAAAAGAGTACTGTAATATTTCAGGAAACAGTAATTCTTCATAAGCTCCATAGAAATATGGGGCACACCTAGGCTTGCCAAATGTGCCCGGGGGGCGGGTAACCCCCCGCTTCGGAGCCCCCGATTCCCGCCCCGCCGGAATCGGGGCTCGGGGTAACCCCGCCCCCGAAGCTGCGTCACCAGAGGTGACGCAGCCACGTTGCCGACGTTGGGGGCGTGGCCGAGCTCGTCGGGGGGGAAAACCATATGTTTCCCCCCCGACGAGCTCGGCCACGCCCCCAACGTCGGTAGCGTCTGACGTCACTTCCGGGGACGTCGCGGCGGCGCGCACGCGTGCACATGCGGACTGCTCTTGGACGGGACGCGGACTCCCCCGCCGGTGAGTGAAAATTATTTGGCAACCCTAGCCACACCAAAAAAGTGGGTTTTAGAACTGGGGATAAAATGGGCAATATTGTACTTCTTTTAAAAAGGAACTTTCAAAAATACATGTACCTGAAAGCTTTCTGCAGTGAAATAAAGAGAGAAAAAAAGAATGCAGGCAGTTCAGTCAATTGTGTCTCAATTCAGTATGAGCAGATCTCAGATTCATGCATTTCTTGTGGCCCAACCCATCCTCTGTCATGCTTACCATTTATAAAATCAAACCTGATCAACCTCTGCTTGAGTTGTCTCTCAACCCTGCTGTTTCAAGAAAAACGTTATTTTCCCTATCACGACTCCAAACAGCAAAAATACAAAAGAACAACAAACCAGCGGAACTCCAAGTAGAGCTTGGAATTTTAAAAAAACATTCCAGAAAAGCTCTTCAAAAGTGGGAGAAAAGAGAAAGATATGCATTTTTGCTATGTTGGGCTGCCATACTCAAAGTTAAACCAGCGTTATATCATGGTTAGTATTGAGAAAGAATACAAGAAGTCTGAATTTTCCTCAAAGGTACTCTTTACAATACTAAGAAGTGTGAGCATCCTACAGTCTCTAGTAAATAGCCACAGAGTATTAGGGGGTAGGGAGGACAATGGGAAGTTGTAAAGAACAGCTCTTCCATCCTCATTATTTTAGAATGCTTTCAGGAACAGGAGGTTTTCTAGGAAAGGTTGGGTTTGTGGGTTGCTGAGGATTGGGGTGGCAGGACAGAAGGGGGAAGATGCACAGGGAAGAAACAAGAGAAGAGAGTGGGTTGCTCATATTTCCCCTGCCCATCACATTTCCTTTGTGGTATCCTCACTCCAGTCACAATTTCCCCTTTGAAATTCAGTTTGGGAACCAAAAAAATGCAATTATTTCAATTATTTATTTTGTATTGAGATCCTGCTTTACTCCCTAGTCGGGACCCAAAGCACCTAGGGGAAAGGTCTGTGAAAAGTAATTGTTGGGGGATATTCCTCGCTGTTGGAAAGATGTAGATTATTTATTTATTTACTTAATTTATATCCCGCCCTCCCCGCCAAGGCAGGCTCAGGGTGGCTTACATAAAGATATAAAACAATTAAACAAGAATTAAATAAAATCAGAACAGTACAATTATAAATATTATAAAATATACAGTGCTAGTCTGTATCAGATGGCAGGCATTAGCAGCATCCTCAGGCGACAGCCAGCTGACATTGTAGTCTGGGTTGATTGGCTGTCAGCAATGATGTTAGTGTTTGTGCTTTAATGTATGCAGCTGTGATTAAGGTTTGGGTCTGGGGGAAGGGCAGCCCAGTGTTACATTAACGAACCTTTGGAGGTGATTTTCCTTATTGTCCAAGTGAAGGACTGGACACACTTAACTAATGAGGCTACAGAAATATGCACCACAGAAATATCACTGAAGAACTATCTGGGATCATTGCTGTGGCAGCATAAATTGTAACCTTTAAACCACACATTTCTAAGCATCATGTCAACCCTGTGGCACAACCTAGCTGTAAAGAATAGCCAGCCTGTAGCCCTTGCTAATGCAGTTTTGTAGAATTTTCAAATCAGTTTGCTCAAGTGTCGCATGCTCACCATAAAATAAACCGATGAGGAACTTATCTGTTTCTTCTAGTTTCAATGGCAGGGGCTCATCCTCTTCTTCATTCACTGCCATCTTCTTGTTCTTCTCTTCCTGATAGAAGCTTTTGAGATGTTCGTACGAATCAATCATTCGGATGGTGTCGTTGATTTGCAAAGCATCGTTGTATTTCTTCAAATGCTCTGCACAGACACGTTCTTTACGATTCTTTTCTTTAGCAGCTAGTCATGGGGGGAAAAACAGCACATGCATTCTCAAAACTGATTTTTTAAAAAACATTTTATTTTATTTGAATTTAATATAAAACAGCAAAACACAAAAAATACAACTTTTTTAACAATAAAAAACAGCCGTAGAATACATAACAGTATACAACCATAAACAATTCCTTGTATAGCATACATTTTTCTTTGTACCTACTGTAGTTTTTTCACATTTCTCGCTATTCAACTATCACAACCTATACGGTTTTTAGCATAGTGCAACTTTAATGTATTTTCCTGGAACATCATATGCTTTGTTTTTTCCAGCAGTTATATAGTTCAGTACCGTATACCATTTTTCCACAAAGTTATTTGGTTTGTTTGGTATTTGTTCACAAGTTATTTGTGTAGCCAATTTATCTGCTATAATAACGTCCCAAACCTTTGCAATCCAAATTTTAATTGTCGGAATATTTGGCTTATTCCAACGTTGGGCTATACAGGTTTTTGCTGCGAATAATAACAACGTTAACAGTTCTGTCTGTTGTTTGGTCAGTGAAAGATTTGGCCACATATTCAATAATAGCGATTGCGGAGTGTTAGGTAAGTTGCAATTCGTGATTTTAAATATTTCTCTTAATATTTTTCCCCAATATGTTTTTATACGCGGGCATCCCCACCAACAATGTAAGTACGTCCCTGTATGTCCACATCTTTTCCAACAAAGTGGGTTAGTTTTAAATTTACTTAAAAACAGTGTTCGTGGCGTTAAGTACCAGCGTGCGTAGATTTTAAAGGATTGCAGTTTGACTTCTAAGTTATTGGTTAAAAATGGATATGAGTTCCACAAAGTCTTCCACTCAAAACTGATTGACAGATGTCTAGAAGATGAAGTGCCTTCAAAAGATTTAATGCAAAGCATTACCTTTCTTCTCCTCTTGAACAACCCACTGTTCATAGGTCTGAGATCCAAACTCACATCTTGGATTGAACTTGCAATACGACTGGATCTCGGTCATTATGCTTATGAGTTTTTCTTTGAATGGATCCTAAAAATGAAACACATGAGCATCCAATTAAAGAGATATGCTGGATATTCTTGCCAGCAAGGGGCAGAAATCCACTAGTTTAAATACCACCTAGAGGAATTTGCTAAAATTAAGCATGCAGTCCCTTGCAAAATGGCCCTCCTGCTTCATAACAAGCCACTTGACAATAATGAATGCAGCCAATGAAACTAAGCAGATAATAACATGCAGAAATCCCACGTGTCTGATGCTGTACACAGATTCTGTAATCCTCAGATAATTAGGAGTCAGCAATTTAAGGTTCTGAGGGATGACATTCTAATGGCCAGCCTAGATATATAGGCAGAGAAGAAAAGTAGCAGCTAGAAGAAGAAGAGATTGGGTTTATACCCCGCCCTTCACTACCCAAAGGTGTCTCAGAGTGGCTTACAAACTCCTTTCCCTTCCCCTCCCCACAACAGACACCCTGTGAGGTAGGTGGGGCTGAGAGAGCTCTGACAGAAACCACTCTTTTGCAAGGATAGTTCTTATCAGAACTATGGCTTGCCCAAGGTTATCCAAGCAGGTGCAAGTGGAGGAGTAGGGAATCAAACCTGGTTCTCCCAGATTAGAGTCCGCGCACTTAACCACTACACCAAACTGGCTCTATCAATGTAAATGTAAATTACAAGCAGATCACTTTGCTGGGAATAGGAGGTAGGGACAGTAGAGCTGGGCTACCACATCTCATTTGCTCCTCAAAGACCTCCCTAAGAATACTAACTGTTGACCACAATTAAAAAGTCATTTTATGATTAAGGGAGCTTTCACTTCTTCCCCATTTAGAAGCCAGAGACCATTTTCAATAATCCACATGGTCACTAAACTGCATTCTACAGTCATTCCGAACAGAGATGTCAGGCATCTATTGTGAATAATGTGACAGAGGAAAGAGAAGGCCAGCTGGATCTTCAAGGCACCTCACACAAAGCATCAAGCAGCTCCAATCTCAAATTTATTCTACCCTGGATGTGCATTTTGAGAGGATGGCAGTGTTTGCTGGATGCCTCAATGGGAAAAGTAGAAGGTAAGATGAACCTTTCACACAGTTAAAATTATGAGCTTCTTGAACCCATAATGTCATATTACATTCAATGTTTTTGGAATTTAAATAATCATGTATGCATTTTTGAACTGACAGAAACTTCCAACCAAAATAAACTTGCACCTCCATGGTGGGCGAGGACACCCACTGCAGGTCACAGGAGGTCCTCCCATATAGTTTTATGTAGCACTTGGATTCACACTAGCCATACCTGCCGTTTGTCATCTGCAATCTCAAACTTTTTATAAGGTTCCTTCACTTGATTGCTCAGTTGCTGTGCATGTTCTTTAACAGTCATGATCCTCTCTGCATCAAGATTGGCACATATCTGGAAGACGAAATGTTATTACAGAAATTACGTGCACATTTCATGAGTAATGCTGCCTAAAGTGAATTCCAAAGGCCAGGTTAGCCATGCGATGATGACAGGGGGGAGGGGAAGATTCAACACGAGGATGCCATTTTTCCTGGCAGTCCTCTAAAATGTACACTTCTGCTCAATTCACAACTTTTACAGAAAAACCTAGTAATTTCTGAATGCAGGTCACATGCATCTGAAGTCAACAATTATTGATGAGAGAACTGCTCAACTTTTTGCAGTGTAGCTTGTTCCAGTCTCTCAGTCCTCATTGTTCAGTATTCAGAAACTGAGGTTTAAAAGCCTAGGGGTTATTCCTTCTCCTCTTGCTTTCCCTTTTATTTATTTAAACCAGGGCTTTTTTTCTGGGGGAACACACTGGAACGAAGTTCCGTAACCTCTTTGACAAAGTTCTTATTAAAATGTTTAAAAGTTCAGGAATTTTCAGTATACAGATTGAAAACTTCATTTCCCTCTTGAGAGTTCCGGTACCTCTTTAAAAAAAGAAGAAGAAGAAGCCCTGATTAAACCAACAACAACAGCAGTGCCTTTCCCAAAGGCTTGAGGCTAACGACATAATGGCCTGCCCGAGGAGGTCAGGAAAGCTTCTGCTTTCCTGGCTTTCGGCAAACAATTCAAAACTGAACTATTCAATAGGGCTTTTCTTGTGCAGGGAACAAGGGTGCACTGCACAAAATGTTTTTACTAACGTGCCTGGATAAATGATTAGGGACTGGGGTTTGTACTGCTGTGAATAGCTTACTGTAAGTATGATCCAATTTATGTAATTTTTGTACCGCTTAATCTGTCATGTGAATACTTATGCTATGCTGGTAGTTCCACACTTCGAAAATCCTAATGCACTGGTTGCTGAATGTCCCATTTTTGGGGTTGTAATGGCTCACTATGTGTAATCTGCCTTCAGTACATATGAGAATGGTGGACTATAAATAACAAAAGTAGAGAAAAATAAATAAACTAAAATAGCCAGCAAACTGTTGCCAGATTGACAAGGGTAATAGTAAAACTCATCCCTTTACAAAAAGACCCAATTGTCTCAGCCATACTAACATTCTCCTGCTTTTACAACCATTCAACAGAATGTCCTTTGAAACAATGATGTTTTACAGGTCATTCAAGATGATGCTTGGCACACAGCCTCCAGAAGGGCCATTTCTTTCTCATTTTTTGCATTTTGTGTGTGTGTGTGCATGTGTATGCCCATCCCTGGAAGCCTCCTACTGGGGCACGGAGGATGTTCAGAGAGGTGGCTTAATAGCCCACCTCTGGCCTCTTGGCCCTGGTATTCTTTGGAGGTCTCCCATCCAAATACTTGCCAGGGTCGGCCCTGCTTAACTTCTCAGATCTGATGAGATCGGGCTTGCCTGGGCCATCCAAGTCAGGACTCCAGAAGGCCATTTCGTTGCAAAGAAAAGGCCTTATTCCTGACCAAAGTCAAGTGAACTAGCCAGAAGTAGAGAATGGTAAGAGGAGAGCTCTGAACAGATCTCAGATGATGCACTTGCTCACACTCTCTTTTAAACAACAGTGTGGCTTTGCACACAACACCCTCCACAATAGTAGCAGGAAGTTCAGAGGTGACTTACTTTCAGAATATGTTCCTCAGCTTTGGAAGGGTTTTTTGCACCTCCTACACCGGGTGAGGCTGTCAGTCCCAGGATCTGTGGCTGAGGAAGCCATGAGTTGCTTTGCTTCTTATTTTGCCTCTTTTCTTTCAGATAACGACGCATAATATTGTTATAGACACCTTCCTTGTGAGTGTGATGGCATTCATCAATAATAATCAGAGAGAACTCTGGAAGACATTCAGTGCAGATTGGTGAGTTCTCCTGAGCACAGTACCTCAGTAAAAATAATATACTTTAGTCGTCGTTGAAGGGGAGAACAATTGGTTGGTTTAGTGCAACAGAAAATGATGCACGTCTCGGAATGCACATTAGCTCCATTAAATATCCCAGAAATTGGTACATTACCAGATGACCTTTTATTCCACACATTCTGGTACTTTTAAAATTGTACTATAAAATAATACATAATTGCACAACGTGACTATTGCAATGTGCTTTAAGTGGGGAGCTGAACACTGTTAGAAATTTTGGCTGGTCCAGAGTGCAGAAGCTTGGCTTGTCACCTGACACATATTACACTGTTTTTTAAAAAAGCATTAGTGGTTACCTGGTAGTTTGCAGGCTAATTCATAGCCTGGATCTGGAATACATGAGAAAACCTGTTGTCCCATATTCTTCCCCTCCCTTCCACCACAATTTTAAGTCTGGAGGCAAGGCCTTGTTTCATGAGTCACTGCTACCTTCTTCAGATGAGATGAGCTTTTTGGTAGTGTCTTTATGTCTGTGGAATTCCCTCCTGAGGGACTTCTACTCCATTGTTTCTTTAGGAAAAGGTTTTATTTTGCTGGGCATTTGACTGTTTGGTTGGAATCTTGTAATGCTTACTGTACACAGTTTAATATGGTATTTTTATAAAAATGATTTGTTGTATTTTATTTCTTTTATTATAAACGGGCTTGGGATATATATGTTCTAAAGGTGGGACAGAAATCTTACCACATAAACACATATAGGAAATTGGGTTGAATTGCGACTGTAAGACAACCCAGAAATTAAAATAATACAAGAAACTCTAAGTATCTTCAGCAACAAGGAGATCCTTCTAGGCAACTGTTCTCAACTAAAGTTTAGGGCAAACTGCAACTTTCACATCCCCCCATTTTCAGGCCACTTTTAGTCATCCCAACTATCTCTTTGCTCAACTGGCAACTCCATAAATCTCTCACATCTTTAAGATGCCACAAGACTCTCATTTTAATTTTTTTTGTAACCGACTTACATGGCTAGCTATTCTTCTGGAATCTGTGTGAAGGAAGCTGGAAAGAAAACACGATGGTCCAGTTTTCCAAAGTAAAACCAACTAGCACAAAGTAGTTGTCTATGGCTCAAGAGGAGAGCATCTGCTTTGCATGCAGAAGGTCCTAGGTTCAAACCCTAACATCCCCAGGGTTTGTGTGTTTTTAAAGGATCAGCTTGTAGTTAATGAGCAAGACCTCTCCACCTGAGACCCTGGACAGCCTCTACCAATACTGAACTGGGCTCACAAGGCAGCTTCATGTGTTCTATGCTTCCCAAAGCAAAATAGCCTGTAGATAACAGTATAATGCAGGAAAAGTTTATGTATAGCATAGTGTTCGATTAGGAGCTAGGAGATCCATGTTGAAGTCCCTATTCTACCATGAAACTTGATGAACCAATCACTCTTTCTCTATTTCTCTCTCAGTCTAACCTATTTAAATAGGATTGTTGGGAAGATAAAGCAGGGAATAGAGATCCATGTACCCTGAGTGTCTTGGAGTAAGCATGGCATAAAAATTTACTGGATATATGATCTATATCCATTCATTCATGAAAGACTGAGCATGCTAGGTTGATCCTGGTTGGTCAAGATTGCCTATGACTATCAGTACAATCAGTACCACATTGTTACTACAGTATAAGCATATAGGTTTCAACATCAGAACAAGACACATGCCTGCTAAACGGACTCCTTCTTCAGGATCTCTGTCTGCATTCAGCAGCGCATTCTCAAGGATCTGAGCAGTGCAGATAATGACATCATTATTTTGGACGACTCTGGGGAATAAAATTTTCAGCTGAGATTCACCACTCAGCTTAGCTACTCGATACTGGTGCTTCAGGTAGAGGTGAAATTCTTTCCGGAAATGCTGCTCCACCAAAGGCACCTGAAGAAATTATTCCAAGCAATGGAATTAAAGAAATTGTTCTGTTAAAACTCCACACAAACTGCTATCCACATAACATTACCCTGGCAACAGGTAAGAAGGGTAGCAGGTCATTCTAGGCATGAACAACAACAAAAGCAACAACATGGATGGGTTATAGATCACCTTCTTGTTGGTTTACAGCTGGGGCCCCCAGTGTTTTTGAGTCTGTGGACACCCTTGGAATTCTGACAGATGATGGTCACAACTAAAAAATGGCTGCCACAGGAGACAGAGCCAACCACAATATGATTGCTCTGGGAAGCCGAGCCACACACACACACAGAGGAAGCCCAAGTATAGGGGATAAGGGTTATTTAATATACATGGGGAAAGAAGAGTGAGTGAAAATAAAATCAACACTGTGGTGGCAGCTGCCACTGAAACAATGTTATTTTAGTCTATACAGAAGATTAGATCCCCTGTGGCCAATCAGAAGTTCTACTGGGCAAGAGCCCCATCTGGCTCCACCAGCTTTCTAAAAACACTTGGCAGACGCCAAGAAAGGTATAGGCAGGCAGCATGGTGCCCAATGGGTGTAGCATGCTGGGGGCTCCTGGTTTAAAGGAATGCCTTCCATCCTACAGGTAGATGCTTCTATGATGCATATAAAGAGGAGAGCATACCTTGGTGTTTTGGGGGGAGTGGTATTTTTCATGTGTGTGTGTGTGTACACCTGGAAGTCACGGAGACCTCTGGTGACTGACCCCTACTGGAGGCCTGGAGGATATTCAGAGAGGTGGCTGAGGGAAACCTGCCCCTGCCCCCCACCTCTCGCTTCTGGTATTTCAAGGCAGTCTCCCATCCAAGTACTTGCCAGAGTCGACTCTGCTTAGCTTCTGAGATCTGATGAGATCGGGCTTGCCTGGGCTATCCTAAGTCAGGGCAGCATACCTTGTTGACAAGTACTATAACTTTCCCAGTCTTCTTTTCTTCTCTCTTCTCATCCAAATGGTGTTTGGCAATATAAACAGCCACGCGGGTCTTGCCACTGCCTGTAGGGAGGCATATGATAATATTCTTCCCTTCCAGGGCTGGTTTAGCTACTTCCATCTGGTAGTCTCTGAGACTCAGCTCTGGTTCAGGTGAAGATCTCTTGTCTCCATCATCCACATCATCTGTGGGACACAGAAACCAATCCATGGTGGGCTCTTTCAGCACACAGCACTTTATTTCAAATTGCACTTCTAGCTGTGGACAAAGACTTGGATCCTAAGCCTTGTTTCCACTTGTGCAATGCCCTTTCCCACTGCAGAGGCAGCCCTCTGTGGCAGAGCACGTCCTCTGCATCAGGCACTTCCACCCATGCAAAACTGCTTCCAGGTGGGGACAATACCTCATAGTGCTCTCGTTGCCACTAATTAGTTGCCAGTAATTGTCTGGCAGCCTTAAGTTCTAACACTTTCAGTGAGCTAGACTTATTTTTTGGGGGAGCTCAGACAGCACTAAGAGCTTTGACTGACCCAAGGTCACTCAGCTGGCTTCATGTGGAGGAGTGCGGAATCAAACCCAGTTCTCCAGATTAAAGTCCACCGCTCTTAACCACCACACCACACTGGCTATCACTGCCACTGTGAATGGAGGAAAAGATCATACCAATGCAAGATCTGGAGGAAATGCAGGAGGCCAGGAAAGAAAACAGTGCTGCAGTGCTGGGGGGGAGAGGGTTTGGGAACAAAACCTCTGTGTAGAAGCAACCCAAGGCCAATGTTTTTCAGTGATTTCCTAAGTGCCCAGGGCTAGAGGGAAATGGTCCACAGAGGATGAAGAGGGATGCAAGTGGAAAGAGAGCTCAGGATTGAAGTCAAGACCTACACAACCCACCAGACTCCAACTTTGTTCCATCCAGCTTTGTTCTCTGCCTGCCAGAGACTGCAAAAGCATACCTGCACCTGTGCCACAAAACACACCAGATGGGCTGCATTTTGCTTTGTGCCTTGCATGTGGCATAAGCCCATTCTAGGATTACGAGCTGTCACACCATCACAAATCAGGCTTCAAAAGTGTATGAATGAGGCAAGTTACGATATCAAAGACATGACAGTCAGAGCACTAAGCCATACCTGGCTGTGTAATTGAAGCACATTTCCATGTAGGCTTTACATTTCCTATACAAAACACAGTCTCGAGGAAAGGGTCATGTATATCAGGAGCAATGTGCAACAAAGGGAACTCTGTCTAAGCCACTATGTCAAAAAGAACCAACAGCTGATACGAAGCTCTCGTACACTACCAAATTATTATTCTGAAAATTAAGTATTATTAGTCTAAGGTGTCAATGGACTTTTATTTTTCCAAGCTACTGGGCAGTATTATCTACACCAGGGATATTAATCTTGCAAAAGCAAGGAAGCAAATGATAAAATGTCAGATTTAAGGCCAAGGTGTTTCCCAAACAAGATATTTTCCTATGGAAAAATTAAGGGGGAGGGGAATCAAATAAACAAACGGCATTTAAAAAGGACATGATAGGAATTAAACAGCATGAAAAGTCAATTGTCAAAATATTGTGACAGTTACGGAGAGGAACAGCACCGAATGGAATGGGTGAAAGATCTTCATCAAAGAATATCTAATGCTGTTGGGTGTGTGTGGAATTTTCTGTCTGGTAAAACTGTCAATATCAGCCAATCAAAACACCATAATTATTTGTAGATGGTATAAAGCGTGTTATTTTTTCTGTACAGGCAAATTTATTAAAAGCCAACTAAATTAACAGAATGTAATGAAGCTTGCTGAAAATAATGGAAATCTCTCTGAGTTGAAGCCTGAGTCTTATGGGAGCAGCTAAAAGAATGCTTCATTTAACTACCATTTCCCACACAGAAAGAACGTCTATTTCCTGATAGGAGTAAAGGGGATGTAGTGAGCCTTAAATCCCTTTGGTTTTCACTAGACAGACTGGAGATATCCTCATCCAGGCCTATCTGATGGTACCATACTACCTCTGCCCTCTTCCAACTTTATCCTTTTCTCGGTCTTTATAGACGGCTACCCAACTGCACCCATTTCGGGGTTCTCATGTGGTGCTCAGTGAAAAAGAAGAGTTGGTTTTTATACCCCACTTTTCTCTGCCCTTTTGTTGTTGTTGTTCAGTCGCACAGTTGAGTCAGACTCTCTGCCCTAAGGAGTCTCAAAGTGGCTTACAAACGCCTTCCCCTCCTCTCTCCATAACAGGCACCCTGTGAGGTCAGTGGGGCTGAGAGAGTGCTGAGAGAGCTGTGACTGGCCCAAGGTCACCCAGCAGGTTTCGTGTGGAGGAGTGAGGAATCAAACCCGGTTCTCCAGGAGAGTCTGCTGCTCTTAACCACTACACCATGCTGGTTAAGTCCTTAGCCATAAGCAGGCCTTTACTTGTGAGAAGGAACTGTTTGGAGCTGCTTTAATGGGAGAATCTTGTCTTCTTCTCCAGAGGCTGCTGATGGGAAGGGTTGCCTCCACAGCGGGACTGCTCTGTCCCGTGACTTCCCTCCACTTTAGGCGTTTGCCTAAATGAATACAAACAAAGTGCCTAGGGCTCACAATACTTTTAGGGGCCCACAAAAATGTTTCACTTTCTTTTAAAATCAGAAGGGGGAAAAATGAACTTTTAGGGTTGAAGAAAATATTCTAATTTTTTTCTCACATCAGAAAAGAATGAAATTTTAGGGCCCATGTAATTTTATTAAATTTTGCTTAAAACAGAAAAAAATGTTGATGTATTTAAGGTTATATTAAAATAATTTTTAATATCAATGTTATTATGGTGGGAGGGGTCCACAAAGACAATAGTACCCAGGCCTCACAAAGGTCAAAATGCGGCCCTGGTGTGGGCTGAGAAATTCACTCCACGATATTACAAGGATTTGTGTGGTGAAGTTTGCTAAGCGATACAGTTGGAGGACTGTGTGCCATGACACTCATGTGTGTTGAGGGCCATAAAGTTTTTGCTCTTTTCTAGAATATTGATCTTGCACAGTGGAGTAAACTGTGGAAAGTGAATGTGAAAATGACTAAATTGGTTGCATTTAAAAAGAATCTGTATAAGATGTTTTATAGATGGTATTTAACACCAGATAGATTAGCTAAAATGTACAAAAATATGTCTAATGTTGCTGGAAGTGTAAAAAACATGTAGGTACGTTTTACCATATGTGGTGGACATGTGAAACTGTATGCAAGTTCTGGGTTATGGTACATACATTTATAAAGACAGTTTTGCAGACTCATTACCTTTTTGACCAGAATAGTTTTTACTGAATTTCATACCACATGATTTTGATAAAAATCAAAGATATTTTATAATTCATGTAGTAACGGCAGCTAGAATCTTATTTGCAACCTTCTGTAAACTACTAATAATGCCTTCTGAACAAGATCTGCTAGTGAAGACTTTGGAAAGTGCGGAATTGGGCAAATTGACTTTGATGTTAAAAGGGCAAATGGAAGAAGATTTTGTTGGACTATGGACTCCTTTTTATGACTGGATAAGAAAGAAACATAAAGATATGAAAATTTTGATAATATAAAATGAAGAAGTCTTTATGAACTTCCAAAATTTCAGTCTAATCTTTTTGTAATGTGAAATGATATGTGGACATTTATATGCAGAATACTTATTACTTTTGTTTCCCTTTCTTCCCCTACCCCTGTATACTCCCAAAATTTAATAAAGTGTACTATAAAAAAATAAAGTTTTTTTTCTGTGTGAGACCCATTTATGTGTACCCTCTGTAAAGACACCTCTCTGTGGTGTTCTGAGGTAATGTGTGTTACGCTGCCTCCTTGCCTTCCTTTATTTTTATTGCCAGCAAAGGCTCTCGCCTTAGAATTCTTAGTTGGACCCAAAGAACAGGATGGCTTAGTTGTATACGATAGAATGATGGAATGGTCAGCATGTTGGGGTGACTCTGAGGGGATCTTTTACTCTGAAACGAACGGTTGTTTCTCTTAAACATGAATATAGTTTGTTTATAACAGCATAACAGTTTCTGTATGGCTAATAAGCTTAATAGTTTCAGACAGATACATAAGCTTAATGGTTTCTTAAGCAGACCTAGCCACACAGGCTTATTTTCTTACTTGCTACTTAAGTTCATAACTTCCACAAAGCTTAAGTTACCAGCTCCTTCCTCCACACACCTACACATCACTAACTCTCACACAAAGCCTCTCTGAACAAAACAGTCAACTCTGCCCCCTAGGGTACAGCTATCACCCAATCATAACACATCTGAAGAAGTGAAGAAGCATGCTTGCACACGGAAGCTTATACTTTGAATAAAATTTTGTTGGTCAAAAGGTGCCACTGGACTCAGATTTTGTTCTCATAACACACTTCACTCACCCATCCAGCGTCCCCCTCCCCTTTCTTACTCTACAAGCCTACATTTTAAATCACAGCAAACATAAAACCCCACATTAAAATGTAGAAATAAAACACACACAGTATTTACACAGAGAACACTACAGGGGGCAATCTTTGCACCAATTGTACTTTCTAGAATAAATCAAACAAAGCTCTGGAGATATGACCAGGTGAAAGGGTGGCCATGGCTCTACAAGAGAACAGCTCCAGTAGGGCAGAGACAAAGGTTTGGATGAGGTGAAACAGGAAGAATGAAGTGGGAACAAAGCAATCAACATCCTGTGCTGGGCTATACCCTCCTAAGCCCAACGAAGTCAATGGGCTTAGAAGAGTGCAACTGCGGTCGAGATGGAACCAGTGTTACCTCTAAGCTGAGTTAGTGTGAGCTAGCTGACAGTTTTTTAGCCTCCGGCTCACATATTTTTGTCTGAGCTCAGGAAGGATGGTTCCAGAGCAGACTAATTTATGCAGTAACCAAATTGCTTGCTCACAACTTTAATGCTAGTAGCTCACAAAGTAGAACTTTTGCTCACAAGACTCCACAGCTTAGAGAGAGCATTGGCTGGAACTGTTAATTACTGCTGCCATTGACCATTTGCACAACAAAATCATTGTTGCGGTTGTTTTCTAACACTGGCCTGACTTGGCCTGATGCATAAGGCAGCTTTTGATTTACTGCACCTGGCAAACGTGCCCTTCCAGATCTTATTTCATGCTTGCTAGAGTACAACGAAGGTCATACCTGAATCACCGCCGAAGCTGACCTGTCCAAGGCTTTCGTTGGTGTCATCGACACTTGCATCTAGCAAGCTGACATCAGATTCTAGCAGACAAAACACATAAGCACAGGTCACCCCAGAATTTTGCATGACGTATCGTTCTCTCTGTTTCAGGTTCACACAGTCCAACTTGACTTACCAGAACAACCCTACTTTGTTTTATAATATAATGTCAATTTCCTATTGAAGCAGAAACCACCTTTTGGGGGTAACAGCCAAAGCAAATCAAGGGGATTGTCAAATGAATTGATCTGGACTTGCCATGCTACCATTACCAGCTCTGGGATGTCTCTCTTGATGTTTAGGAGATGCCATCTTGGAAACTGTAACTGATCTAAAACGTCTTCTCATGTGCAAGGGCTACTAATACAAACATACAGGATTAAAGTCTGTAGGTCTCAAGGTCCTGAAACACTACCAGCCACTAAAAAGAAAACCATTGCCTAAAAGGCAATTATGCTTCCCTAACAAGGAAGCTTCCTGCCAACCTAGCAGTTCGAAAGCAAGAAATTGCAAGTAGATAAATAGGGACCACTTCAGTGGGAAGGTAACAGCGTTCTGTGCGCCTTGGTGTTTAGTCATGCCGGCCACATGACCACAGAAACGTCTACGGACAGCGCTGGCTCTTTGGCTTTGAAACGGAGATGAGCACCGCAACCCTAGAGTCGGACTCGACTGGCTTTCGAGCAAGGGAACCTTTACCTTTACTAACAAGGAAGCTACAGGGTGCCATCTACTGGCCTGCAGTAAGCCTGCATGAATACAAACATCAGAAAACAGAAATTAAATGGCATACACATCTGAAGAAAGCGATGACTTTCAAAAAGCTTATATCGGAATTAAAGAGGGTTTTTATCTTATTGGCTTTTTAATAGTCTGCTTCTGTTTATGGGTGGCTTTTATGCTGTTGTCTAATGCCTTGTGTTCTAAAATGGTGGGTCTTTTTGTACAATATATTTTATTAATATGGTGGTTTTTTAATTGCAAGTTGCATCGAGCAGGACTCTGAAGAGGCGGCACAGAAATATTCTAAACAAATAAACCCGGTTAGTCTTAAAGGTCGCAGATGATTTCTGTTCTAAGAGCAGTTTCACAAGAGGAGCCAGTGGCTGGTGTTCTGGATGGTTGCTGTGCTTGTTTTGCATATATAAAAACACCCCTTGCATTTTGTGATCTTTCCATTCATATAATATTCACATTATAGGCCAGTAGTTCCCAAAGTGGGCAGTACCAATGTTCCCTCTAATCCCTCCCCCCGATGGAGCAGTTCACATCCTGAGCAGAACTGCTGTAAACTTAAAACGGGCAATGGCTAGTGCAAGACCCTGTGCGGCTCCAGGTTGCTGCTGAGTGGGGCCTACTGTGTTAATGAGCAGCTGCTCATGTGCACAGCTTAGAGGGAAAACTGGGTGGTACCCTAGAGGGTGGTGGGATTACCTAGGGGGTGCTAAGAGGCAAGGGGCAGCAGGGGGGCCCATTCAACCACATTGTTTACTTATCGATGATTGCCCAAGCTATGGCACCATGCTGGCAAATGGCACTCCCAGTTTCTGCCTCTGCACAGAGCTGAAATCTGGTGCAAGGGACTGAAATTTTTAGGAAACATGCTCTAATCAATAGTTAAATATACTCTAATCAGAGCTCTGATCAAACCAGTATACAACATTTTGAGAAACTATCGGTACATACAGTGTGTATTTTCCTCTCATTTACCAAGTTTTTGCTGTTACTGTTTTGAATATTTTTATTATCTTTTCTTAGTGGATTGTGCAAACCAGTATTCTGAATAACGCTTTTTATAGGCTAGAGTAGGGGCCATAGGGGATGACTTTATGGAGCCAAGGGGGCGGTGGTCCCAAAAAGTTTGGGAATCCCTGCTACAGACAAAGATGCGCCAAGTGGAAATATGTTTTACCAATCCAATCATAGACAGATTATGCCACAAAGAGTCTGCTAGTCTTTAAGGTGCCAAACAAGACTTTGTTTTCTTTTCACACTTTACGTAGTAATTGATGGTTCTTGCAGTGAACAGGGAGAGGACCAGTGGCAAACACCTGGGCCTTAATCATACACAATGCAAGCAAAGCTGCACGGAGTAGACAGTCACTTTCCTTCCCCCCTCTCCCGCTGCAGTCCTCTATGCCATCTGAAACCGGACCTCCATGGGTCACTGGACGCTAGGAACATAAATGGGTCAACTTAGGGGCTGCAATGAGAAAGGAGAAACAGCAAAAACTGCCCCTCCCTCCACAAACAGAAGTGCCCACCACAAGCAGAAAGGCAGCTAAGGACACCAATTCCCATGTACATTCATTAGGGAGCAGTGGGCCATGCTTCCCTAATCTGTTCTATACCTCAATACTAAACAGGCAAAGCCCTGACCTGGATGTTCCTGGCTAGCCGGAGCTCTGTTAGATCTCAGAAGCTAAGCAGGGTCAGCCCCTGGTTAGTATTTGGATGGGAGACCACTGAGGAAGTCCTGGAGTGCTACGCAGAGGCAAGCAATGGCAGACCACCTCTGAACGTCTCTTGCCTTGAAAAGCCTACAGGGTTGCCATAATTCAGCTGCAACTTGATGGTACTTTCCCCCACCAAACAGGTGAAATTCACATGTGTGATGTGTGCTTCAAGAGAAAGGAGTTATTAAAGAGCCCTTTACCTGCACCTTGGCTTGAGAGGAAATTCATGCTTTTCATAAGCATGTTTTTTTTTGGGGGGGGGAGTGCAGCTCAGAGCCAGCCCTGAGCATCAGGTTTACCCCCCTCCCCCCCCCCCGGCATCTGGCTGCCTATCTGTTTTGCATAATGCAAAATGGACATCTTCCTCTAGGTGTTTCTACTTAGTGAACTGTCAAAAGTTTCTTCGGGTCTTTTTCCATCCATGGGAAAGCCATCAAGCCTCTCCAACACATTTTACCCCCCAGAAACCAATCATGGTATTGTGTTAGCGGCACACACGTCAGAATGCCCCAAGATCAATTTTTCTATAATTGGACATGCTCCACTACACAATTTGGGTAACAACAGCTGCATCTAAAGGCTGAACTGCTTTACTTCTACAAAAAGTTTATGAGTTTTTAATGTATTTCTGCTTGCTTTTGACTTCATGTTATTGTTTTTGCTGTAATTTGTCTATGTTCCCTTTTGTGCATCCTAATTGCCATGGCCTTTGGCCTCACACAATAAATGCTGCCTTGCTTGCTCAAGGGTTCCTGATCACCAGTAACCATTCCAATTCTTTGGCATTTGTGTCCGCTGCTTGGATGGAAGCTGACAGGCAGCGTTTTTCTTTCTTCCTTGGATCCTGTGATGCCCAGGAGAAAGGCAAGTATATAAATATTTTAAATAAATAAGAATGTGGAGAGCAGAGAGGTAAACAATCTGTATTTGGCCTGTGGCAGAAAAAGTTGCTAGAAGGTTTCTGGCAAGCAGAAAAAGCTTCTAAGGTTATTGGGTATATATTGCTGTGGGAATAGTTGTGCATGCCTCTGCTTGCTAACCATGTATACATCTTTGGTACTTTTTGCACACAAACAAAACCTAAGATACCCCATTTTTTAAAAGGCTGCCTTGGGATTTCCTGTCCCTTGGGAAGGAGGGGCAATGTGAAACAAAATATATTTCAATCAGCCCTGAGTGATTGAATTGCATTTGTTTCGTAGCTAAGCACTCCCTCTGCTGGCAAAAAACATGAATTTTCTACAACCCCAATCTAGCACAAGGAATTTAAAGCATGGCCAGTAAATTTAAAGGGAACTGATAATCTGGTTTGTAGCTGACCTGACCTGGAAAACCCAGGCTAGTCCAACCTCATCAGACCTTAGAAGCTAAGCAGTGTTGGCCCTGGTCAATATTTGGATGGGAGACCATTAAGGAAGTCCAGGGTTGCTCTGCAGAGGTAGGCAATGACAAGCCACCTCCAAACGTTTCTTGTCCTGAAAACCCTATGGGGTTGCCATAAATCAGTAGGTAGTGCCTCAGAGCTCCCAATATTTTCTCTCCCATTCAAGACAATGTAGATTTTATCCCCAAAGACACCATGAAATACAGTGGTGGTGCCCCCCAGACACTATGTTGGGGGGAATCACTGCATTCAGGTGACCATACAACAGGACACAGTGTGAAGATGACCCAAGCTACACGTGCCTGAAGGTGACATCTGCTGATGATGCTGAGATGGACATGTCACCAGAAGAGTAGGACAAGGTGCTTACTTTCCCCTCCTTAATTATATCGTCACCTTGCTTTTCTGTCAAAATTAGTACTTAAGGTAGCTTGCAGCAAATAATTCAGAAGAAAATCTATTAAAAATGTAACAAGAAAACTAAGCAGAAGACGAAGATTTGTGAGAGGTAAAGGCACAAAAGACTAAACACTCCTAAAAGCTTGGGCTTCTGAAAAGTTCTCAATTAGCACTTGAACAATAACAGGATAGGTGTCTGCCAAATGTATCTGTGGAAAACATTCAACTATCGGTGCCACTGCAGAAAAGCCTCTGTCTGGTAATAAAATAAATAGGTGGTAATAAACACTGGTAATAAAATAAACCACTGACAGTACAATCATAAACACATATACTCGGAAATAACCCCCCATTGACTTCCGTGAGACTTCTAATCAGTGTGTTTAAGACTGCAGTCTCACTGTGCATCCTAAGCAGAGTTCCTTCCATGGACTTAGAAGGGTATAACTCCAATTCAGTGTTCCCTCTAAGCTGAGTTAGTGTGAGCTAGCTCACAATTTTTTAGCCTCTGGCTCACACATTTTTGTCTTAGCTCAGGAAGGATGGCTCCAGAGCAAACTAATTTATGCAGTAACCAAATTGCTTGCTCACAACTTTAATGCCAGTAGCTCACAGAGTAGAATTTTTGCTCACAGGACTCCATAGCTTAGAGGGAACATTGCTTAGGATGGCACTATTGGTTTGCCAGATTCATGGAAGTGTGATAGAAACATGCAGCTCATCACTTGTGACTTGTAAAGCTGAATCTAGCTGCGCCAAAGGATCTGTAAAACAGATCAACTGACAGAGCACCTGAAACAGCAGAGGCCTCCCAGAATTCTTCTGAAGCATTCTCCTCACCGGATGAACTGGGCTCCATGTCAGTTCCTTTCTTCACCTCCCCCACGGCTGCAGATCCACGTAGCTCTTCAGTTTTGTCTGCAGATAACCCATTCTCATTATATTCTGTTTACAGAAAAAATAAACAAACAAACAAGAATGCTTAGCAAATTCTTTTTCCTTTAAAATTAGTGGCCAGACTCTACATGTGGACAAAATACACTTGGTTATGCAGTTCAGTGAACTAGAAGACAGGCAAAGTGTAGTCGTTAGGAGTGCAGACTCTAATCTGGGACAAGTGGGTTTGATTCCCCACTCCTCCACATGCAGCTGCTGGCATGACTTTGGGTCAGTCACAGTTTTCTCAGAGCTGTTCTGGAAAGAACAGTTCTGGAAAGAGCTCTCTCAGCTCCACCTACCTCACAGGGTGACTACTGTGGGGAGGGAAAGGGATTAAGCCGCTCTGAGACTCCTTCGGGTAGTGAAGGGTGGGGTATCAATCCAATCTCCTCTTCTTCTAAATTTGGTGAATGGACAGCCTTTAAGATACCCACATTAAGGGCACTATAGAAGTCTACGGCAAACTTCTTGTGGACATCAGAAGATTATGAATTTGTCTCAGTGCAATCCCCTCATAGCCTACTGGTTTTTAAAGCAGTAGAAAAGAGCAAGAGTTCAGTAGCCCTTTAAAGACTAACAACATTTGTGGCAGGGGATGCTCACTTCTTTGGATCTGGAGGGTCCAGACTGGGTGTTGCCTGAATGGGAACTAGACGATGAAGGCTGGAACCCGTAGAAAAGTCTGTAGTGATTCCAGGAAAATCTGCTGTAGATCTGGGGGTTCCTAAAAGATCCAAATGCCCTAGAGTCACGGAGGAAGAGCCCAAATGTCTGGATCCTTTCCCGGAGATCTTATGGTCTAAGAATGGGAGGACCTTCTTCTTCTGATTAGTCTCTATTAGAATACCTTCTAGCTTGCCCCTAAGGAATATTGAAGAGATAAGATGCCACTATGGGCTTGGTTGAAGTGTTCATCAACCAGTTGCTTAGACAGAGGGTGCACCTGGTGACCATGGTAGTGCCAATGGCCCTTGCTGAAAACTGCACGGTGACAAAGGTAGCATCAGCTACAAAAGCCATGAACTTCTCTGACCTCAGGAGGTAGGAAATCAATTGGGAGGGCATCATAGATCTTTCTCTGCATCTTGCACAGCCAAAGGAATAGCGTACAGGCTAAAAAAGGCACTAAGCCATTGAAGCCTCAATAGAGAGCTCACTGGCCTCATGGGGTTCTGCGCAGGGCTGTGTTGCTCCTGTGGTCTGCAGCCTCCTTAAATGCCCCTCTCCCTCCATGGGACAGTCTGATCCGGATGCCATATTGGCCACAGGAGCATCCACCATCAGAATATGTGGGTATTAGCCTGCTGAAGTTGGGAAGGTACAGCACTTCTTAGCCTGAGCCACCTGAAACCTAGAGTGATTAGGTTCATCCTATTCATTTCTCAGTACCCGGGTAGGTAAGAAGGGTAAGATAAAGTCTGCTACAGAAGGGTAAGATAAAGTCTGCTACAGAAGGGTAAGATAAAGTCTGCTACTAGAGCTGGCCATAACCTCCTAGTCACTCTCCGAGACAGGATCTCCTTCCTCTTGATGCGGAAGATCCACTGCAGGAGTAGAAAGTTTCAGGAACTTTGGAGGAGGGGCAAATGACGAAGGAAGACCTCAGTGGCAAAAGACCTCTTGGGTTTGGGAGGGGAGGGGTGACCCTCATCACTGATCTGACCTTCTTCCTTTTTGGACAGGTCAGGGTCACTTATCAGAGAGAACAGGGGAATTAGCCAAATTCGTTGAAAGATCTACTCATGAGTAACATAATGTCTAGGTAAAGGCCAACGCTTGATTTCTTGCAGACTAGGCGAGGACCTTAGGTGGCTCCTGTCCCTCTCTGACTGTAAAGGGCAGCTTCTTGTGCTGCTTAGTTCTACTGGATTGCCTCCATTGGGGGGAAGGGGGGAGTGCTGGTGCTTGCGGCTGCTGTGATCCCTTCTGCCCACAGCCCTTTCTGTAAAAGATTCCAGCCACTGCTGGAAGCTCCCTGGGAAGAGTGAGTCAGAGCTCTCCTTCTCCATTTCCATTGCAACCTTGCTCAACCCTGGTGCAGGGGAGAAAGACGAGGTCACATTCCGGCAGGAAGAAAGCGTGTCCCTCCTCTGGCACGCACCACCATCTCATCCCTTACCCACTCATTTGCAGAAGAAGAGGGGGAAGAGAAGAATGATCTCAGTGTCCTGATAAAGGGCCCTTGGTGTTCTGCCGGGCACATAATACCTCCTGCACCCCAGAGGATGGAAGATCCTGCTGATGGCTCCATTGCCCAGCTCTCCTGCTGTTTCCATGCAGCACTGCAAAGCTGCAAATCCCCTGGGCTTTCCTGAGCCAAAGCAGGTTACCTGAATGGCTTTGTGAGACACGGGAGGTCACAGAAGGACAAATGCAGTAAATCAAGGTGCTGGACTTCAAAGAGAGAGATCTGAAAACAAAAGCAATTAGAGCCCTCCCCAAACGCCTGCCTTCTCCACTGGCAGATCCAGGTGGTCAGCCGTGTTGGGTCTGAAGCAGTGGAACAAATTTAGATTCCAGTGGCACCTTTAAGACCAACAAAGGTTTATTCAAGATATGAGCTTTCGTGTGCAAGGCACACTGTTTCAACTACATTGGAACAGTAGGTAAGTTTCTAACTTATAGACAGGCTGTCATGACCCTCCACCTTCCGCTGCCACCACCCTGGACTTATGGTCCCTGTTGAGAAGGCCCAGGGTACCCTCTCAAGCACATACAAAATGCCCCTTTCACAAAGAGAACACACAGGCGTGATTGACCCAGGCAGAGAAAATAATTAAACAGAAAGGGTTTATTAAAAACAACACTGGGGCAGGGAAAACAAGACAAGGCAAGGTGCTTTAAAAGAGTATAACAGTGTGAAAGGAAAAATAAACATAAACTAATGCAGCTACCTGTTCTACTTCCAAGCCCACAGCCTGGCTAGCACTCACACTGAGCCCAGTGATCTTCCTCTCTCCCAGACCAGCCTGTCCCAACAGTGGGACCAGGCCGCAGAGAGAGACCCGAAAGAACACCCTGTTTTTCCTCAGTTAACGGCTAAGACCCTCTCCTCACACAGTTCAACAGTCTCCTCACAGAATCTCCCTCTCTGATTGGCTACAGCCCGTTGCTAAGCCTTATGGGGACTGTAGGCTGTCTGCTCACTGCCATGCAGGTCTCTCCTGGGACTAGGCCGCACTAGGCCCTGCTCCCAGTCCTGCACAGATCATGACACAGGGATTTAACAGCAAATGAACATGTAACATGATGATGTTTAAGCTATGTAAAGTCAGAACGAAATAACAAGCGGGTGCCCATGGTTGTACCATTGATCTGGAGAAACAGGTTGTCACAAGATCTGAAGAGGTTATGGGTGAGAACAGAATGGCAGAGTCTGGTGGCAAAGTCAGCTGTGCTGATGTCAGATTTCTGACAACCCACATGGCCCCACAGTGTGCTAACATCCTTATGGCTGACTTGGAACAATGCTTCCTAACTCCCACCCACTAATACCTCTCTTATACTTGTGTTACATTGATGACGTTTTTATTGTCTGGACACACGGTAAAGAAGCCCTGGACACATTCCATCAGGCATTCAATGATTTTCACCCCACCATCAACCTGACAATGAACTAATCCATGAAAGAAATACATTTTTGGACACTACTGTAAAAGTACACAATAGACACCACCTTATACTGGAAATCTACTGACCGACAAACATACCTACAAGCCTCTAGCTACCATCCTAAACATACCAAATGATCCATTGTGTATACCCAGGCTCTATGCTACAGCTGCATATGCTCCAATCCTACAGACAGATATCTCACCTGAGGGATCTACAACATAGGAAACAGATCAACAGATCAACAAAGCCAGAATGATACCCAGAGAAAACCTGTTAGAAGACAGACCCAAAAGAGACAATAACAGAATACCATACAGCTTTCAGCTCAAAACAGTTGATTTATTTATTTATTTATTTATTTATTTATTATTTCAACTTGATATACCGCCCTAACCCCCGTAGGGGTCTCTGGGCGGTTTACATTTTTGGGTGCTAGTCACATATTTGAATCCTAACTAAGGCCACATCAATTCAATGGAAGGGGCTGCCTACCGGCACCCTGGTAGAGGCTGGTGTCATTCTTTCGGCTCGGCTCGGCTCCTTTCAACACATCATCAACGACTTACAACCTCTACTGAATAATGACAGCTCTCTTTCACAAATACTGGGGGGCAAACCTTTTCTTGCACACAGACAGCCCCCATCTCAAACAACTATTCACCCACAATAATGCAACATCTAATTTGAACATGGACACTGGGACCAGAGCTCGCAATAAACCCAGATGGCAACTTTGCTGCCACATACACCCAGACAACAAAATCACTGGACCTAACAACATCAACCACACCATCAGAGGCTCAGTCACATGCTCATTTTCTAACATTGTATATGCCATTAAATGTCAACAATGTCCTTCAGTTCTCTACACAGGACAAACCCTCTGCCAGAGAATAAATGGACACAAATCTGACATCAGGAATCACAACATTGAGAAACCTGTAAGAGAACACTTCCTTCTTCCAGGACATTTAAATGGATGACCTCAAAGTAGCTGTTTTGTTACAAAGGAACTTCAGGAACAGAATGGAAATTGCTGAATTACAAGGGATTACAACACTTGGAACAAAAACCTCCCCATGATCAACAGGTATATTGGTTTCTTATCTTATTACATATGCTATCTCATTCAGTCCTCACATATGTATTCTCAACAAGAAGGACTATAAATCCTCTGTATTTTAGTGTATTTCTTTTTCAGAATAGTATATTTGAATAATGAATGTAATGCAAGGAATATCGGGATGTTTTGCTGACATGACACTGCATCTACCTCATCAAGTGCTGTTAAGTGCTCTCCACACCTGGGACTTTCTCGGCTTGCTTCCCACAATTATAAAAGACACCTTTAGACATTTATCTGCTATTTTGACATATTTATTGCTTTACAACTGTTGACCTTATAACCTTAGCTTGTTGTTTAGTTCTTTGCATAGCTTAAACATCATCATGTTACCTGTTAATTTGCTGTTAAGTCCCTGTCTGAACCTTACCTACCATTCCAATGTACTTGAATAAACCTTTGTTGGTTTTAAAGGTGCCACTGGACTCGAAATTTGTTCTCATTGGCAGGAAGAGAAGACTGAAAGCGAGATGGGGGGGAACTCCTCCCCTCTGGAACAATAAAGCTGGACTTCCTGCCACCAAAAGTGGAGGGAAGGGAACTCATCTGGGTCTCCTAATCCTTCCAAGGGAAAATTGCCACTTTTAATCATCATAAAAATCAAATTACCGGTTTCCTCTCCATTTAGTTCATCTGCAATCTTTTCATGGTGAGCATCACGCAAGGCAGCCAGAAATGGAGAGAACCACTTTCTCTTTCGCTCTATTCTGCTCAGCAGTTCCCTCACAGCTTCTTGATTTCCACGCGCATCATGCAGAGTTCTCACCTAGTTAAGAGACAGAGGGGAAAATAAAGGGCGGGAAAAGCTTAAAGCAGTGATACTTACTCCACAGATAACAGAGTTCACAATTCCCATCAACCAGAAGAACCACATAACCACTGTATGTCCTGCGCACCACCCCAAAGCAAACAACAATACATAACCATAGCATAACCCTTTTGAGTACCAGAGTTCCTCTGGACAGATATGGCTGTCTCACCCCACTGCTTATGAAACTTAGCCAGCTCCTGTAGCCAGCCGATTCCCCCACTCCAGGGCTTGCAAGTCAGTGTTTGACATGAAGCAGCATGTAAGTTTTCAGGTTCTCTGAAACTCTGTTAGGCTGGATGTTAAAAAAGAACTTATGGCTTGGGGGCCAGCCTGTGAGCAACTGGTGTAGGGGAGGGAAGACAGGAGGCCTGCTTGGAGGGCAGTGAGCAAGCAGGTGCACACAGTGAGGTGTGTATGTAGTCAAAGCTGTCAAGAAACAGAAAGGAAATAGCTACAGGGTGAGGCTAAAAGGCTGAGGTAAAATAGTGCGGAGACAATGGAAGTGAAGATGGAGGAAGAGGGTGTCCCCCCCCCCACCTCCTCAGACCACAGCTCAGCAAGGATTGGAAAAGGCGCCATTACATGGGGGGGGGGAGGCTGGAGCTGAGCAGCCGGTGCTGCCGTCACCACCCCAACTGGCTTCATGTTTTTTTTCCAAATGGCAACTATGTGGGGTTGGCGTGAGCAGGAGCGCAGAGCAGAAGTTTACCAAACAAAGGGATGGGGCCAGCGGGGAAGAGTGGTGGAGGAGGGCCAGCACATGGTCTGAGAGGCAACTGGGCTGTCTTGTGAAAGCCACTCTGAGGGGAAAGACCTCCCGGCTTCAGAAGCGAGTGGAGAAGTGAAGGGAAAAAGGGGTGCTGATGTCTGGACAGCTGCAGAGCCGGGAAGCAGAGTGTTGGGGTGAGTGGGGGATGGCGACCTTCCTTCTCCCCCCACCTGTTCTCAGCCAATGAGAGGGAAAGGGACGTGGGAGGACAAAAAGTGCCCCCTGGAGATTTCAGAAACAGTCTTCCCGTCAGACCTTCCCCTCAGCCCTGCCACTTCTGTAGGAAATGCAAGAAGAATGAGAAATTGGGGTGGGGAAATCTGGGAGACTCAGGTTCAGACCCCCCCCCCCCCCGCGGACCTGAGTTATTCGGGGGTCGGTCGCTCAGCTTGGCACACCTCACAGGGGGAGCAGTGGAAGGGGAAGTCCGGTGAGCCTCCTCAAGATCCTCAGAGGTAGGCTGGAGTAAGAGAAGAAACAAAGAACTAGAGATGGATTGTAGCCGTGCTTGGCTGCTGAGGCTGGGCATATGAAGGGGACCTGAAAAACTACCTTATTTACTTGCAAGGACAATGACTCCTCTCCTAAAAATAACTAATATACAAAAGTAACTAATTTGTATGGAAATGTACGATACACCCTCTTTTATGGTACCCTTTGGAAAAAATCTAGTCTTGCATGTGATTAAATACATTTATCGGTGCTTTTGTGGGTTCCCCAGTAAATCAATTGCTTTCACTGCTAGGAATCAACTGCTTTTGTTTGTATTTTGAGTAAAAAAATAGTATCATTAGTTGGGTTTGCTGTGTCCTCTATAAAGTCTATATCTCCGGTACCTGGCATTACATTTTATGGCAGAGATGAGGTGAGGAAGCAGCAGTGGCAAGTTGGCTCTGTTCAGACTGAGTCTCCAAACCACTTGCTGATGCCAGGTTAACCAGTCTTTACCCTGCCCAAGGCCATGCAACCTCCACCAGAAGACGTAAACAAGAGCGGGGAAGTAGGAAGAAGAAAGCAGGTCTAGGGGGAGGGGGTTGCATATCTGTATGTGTGAGAGAAGTTATTTATCTCTTTGTGAGAGTGAGTTTCTGTTTGTGTACATGAAAGGGAGACTAGAAGTGCCATCACTGGCCAAGTTACACCCTTCTAAGTCCACTGAAGTAAATGGGCTTAGAAAGGTATACTCCTCTTTAGGACTGCACTGAACATCTATGGGCTTTTCCACATTCTCATTTTCCTCGCCAGAAAGTTCTTGTTTCTTTGGGTCTCCCCCCC